ATGAAGTTTTTCAGGTTTTCTTCACAAATCTAACACCTAAAGAGTTAGTTTCCTGTAGAAAGCCTTTCTGGAGGCATTCCTCCTTGCAAGATTTCCAGGTGTTGCATTGCCTTCTTCCAGAAAGCTATCCATTCTGAGATACTTAATTGATTTCTTTATTTGACATCTTTGAAAGCATCATTCAAAATCACTTAAAATTTTTGAACAGTGTGTAGTGCTGAATAGTAGAAATTTTCATGTGCAAATGGTTGAGGTAATTTCGGGTAGAGTGCATTGTAAAATGCCAGGGAATCAAACTAAGTTCCAAATATAATATATTGCAGTATCAATTGTCATTTGTAAATTTTCACACAGCTGTATTAATTATGCAGTACAGTGGGTGAACGGTTAACGAACACAATCCCTTCCAAGACTTTGTTCTCTATCCGAATTGTTCCTTAACCGATTATCTATTTACCATAGGTTTTTATGGAAATATGATTAATTCGTTCTGAAGACCCCCAAAAATAAAAAATATATTATTTCTTACTACGTTTATTTATATGTAATAATAAAAATACATATATACACACACTTGCATTTTTGTTAGTCATGTTTTTTTTGTTTGAAAGGATTAAAGAATCTGTCTAATGTTGATTTGCTTTTCTCTCTCTGTCAGGATTTTTCGGAAGTAATTAATAGCATTGTAATTGTAGAGATCCCCCAAGTCTATTAACTTCAACCTAGTTTGGATGCCATTTTAAGACTGTCATTCTGACATCCTCCCACTTCTTCAAGAAAATGTTTAATAGCAGATTTCAATTTTCATTTTTTTTTTTTTTCAGAAGAAAGCATATCTCACTGAGTTTCTTGGTGTTCTTCATTCAAGAGTTCTTGGCATTCTTCTGTCATCAGATCAGTTTCAGGTTCCATTGTGAGCTCTTCAATGTTCTTTATTTCTCAGATGTGATTTTTGTTACTCCTTTAGTTGTTTGAGTCTTCTTGATTATACAGTACCTTTCTTAGATAAGATTGAATTGTGGTCTGCTGTAGACCTGTTCAAGCCATACTGCCCAGCAACATCAGGCATCTTCTGCCCACTCTTTACCTTTGCTATTATACACTCATCTTTCAAAAATAAAAACTGACGCAAAACTTAATGAGTGCTCGCCTGACAGTCTCACGAATACTATAAAAGAATTGTTTCTGTTAGAAAAATTAAAAAACTGGAATTACAAGGGAGGGTTTCAAAGTTCAGAGGAATACTATCTGATTTGTATATACTGGGTTGAGCCGTCAGTGTCAACATCTTCCATGCTCCGAAAAGTTTCAAATTGTTGCCTGAAGACAAAAGATGACCAATTGGTATTCATTATTTTTCATTGATTCTTGTGATTGTTTTGTGAGGTGTTTGTTATCCGATCATGTGTTCATTGAAGAAGGATGCAGTTACCAAGAAATTGCTGATATGTTGAATGTATCGACACGAGCTGTGTCGCGCATCCTTAAGCTGTACCGAGACAAAGGTTCTGTGTCACCAGGAAAGGCAAAGGCAAAGGCAAAGGGACGACGGCGGAGGATGACGCCCGTTTAAAGGCCAGTAGTGAGGCCAGGCCTTTTTCCACTGCGTCAATGTTGAAGAAGGAATTAAACCTTAGCATATCTGTAGATACGGTAAAACAGAAGTATGTAACATTTGTAGTATAATATTACAACCTTCCAACGAAATGTATTTCTGGCAGTTCATTATATCGATAGAAATAACTTTATTAACGTGTTCTTGCATATACAGAAATGTAGGAAGCAGGATAATATATATATGTTTTTTACTGTATTCATAGGTTGCGACAGTTTGAACTATACGGAAGGAGAGCAGCCAAAAAGCAGTGGCTCACAATCGGCAACCAATTTGATCGGCTGTGGTTCGCCCAAACTTATTCCCGTTAGGGAGTGGCCGACTGGGCCAAGGTCATCTTCACCGACGAGAAGACATTCCGCTCATCGAGCAGCAGGTTTGACCCGGAGCACGTGTGGTGCACCCAAAGAAGCGGTCGCTTCTCATTAGGTGAGTTTTTAAATTTCATGTATTCATGTCATTAACGCTTTGAACATGACAGCATATTCGCATGTTCATTTTTTTAAATAACAACTTTATTGACGTTTTCTGTTTTACAGGTGTTTGGGGATGGATGACAGTGGCAGGTCCTGGGGAGTTGGTGCGTATAGACAGTCACCTCACCGCCATGCAATATATCTCGATACTCGAAGAGGTATTGTTGCAGACAGTGAGGGCCGTCTATGGTGAAGAGCCGATTCACTTTGTACACAACAGTGGCTGCAGGAGAATCCACAACGCGTAGATATGGGATGGCCAGGAAGAGGGGCAGACCTGAACCCTATTGGACACCTTTGGTCTGAGCTCACCCGCGGCCCCATTCAGGTGGCGACTCCAAACGAGCTCTAGGAAATCGCCAGAGCTCATTGAGAGAAGCTTCGTGAGGGCATACTATGCGACAATCTTGTGGCAAGTATGCCCAATCGACTGAATGAGGCCGTGGACAGACTCGGAAAGTGGACGAAGTACTGACCCTCTCCCCTCCATCTGCGATGTTTAAACTAGTTGTCTTAACAGACCAAGAAGGTCTTGTAAATAAATATTTACAAGACAATAAAAATATATTTTGTAATGTCTTGTAAATAAATATTTACAAGACATTACAAAATATATTTTTATGTCTTGTAAATATTTATTTACAAGACATATTTACAAAATATATTTATTTACAAGACCTTCTTGGTCTGTTAAGACAACTAGTTTAAACATCGCAGATGGAGGGGAGAGGGTCAGTACTTCGTCCACTTTCCGAGTCTGTCCACGGCCTCATTCAGTCGATTGGGCATACTTGCCACAAGATTGTCGCATAGTATGCCCTCACGAAGCTTCTCTCAATGAGCTCTGGCGATTTCCTAGAGCTCGTTTGGAGTCGCCACCTGAATGGGGCCGCGGGTGAGCTCAGACCAAAGGTGTCCAATAGGGTTCAGGTCTGCCCCTCTTCCTAGCCATCCCATATCTACGCGTTGTGGATTCTCCTGCAGCCACTGTTGTGTACAAAGTGAATCGGCTCTTCACCATAGACGGCCCTCACTGTCTGCAACAATACCTCTTCGAGTATCGAGATATATTGCACGGCGGTGAGGTGACTGTCTATACGCACCAACTCCCCAGGACCTGCCACTGTCATCCATCCCCAAACACCTGTAAAACAGAAAACGTCAATAAAGTTGTTATTTAAAAAAATGAACATGCGAATATGCTGTCATGTTCAAAGCGTTAATGACATGAATACATGAAATTTAAAAACTCACCTAATGAGAAGCGACCGCTTCTTTGGGTGCACCACACGTGCTCCGGGTCAAACCTGCTGCTCGATGAGCGGAATGTCTTCTCGTCGGTGAAGATGACCTTGGCCCAGTCGGCCACTCCCTAACGGGAATAAGTTTGGGCGAACCACAGCCGATCAAATTGGTTGCCGATTGTGAGCCACTGCTTTTTGGCTGCTCTCCTTCCGTATAGTTCAAACTGTCGCAACCTATGAATACAGTAAAAAACATATATATATTATCCTGCTTCCTACATTTCTGTATATGCAAGAACACGTTAATAAAGTTATTTCTATCGATATAATGAACTGCCAGAAATACATTTCGTTGGAAGGTTGTAATATTATACTACAAATGTTACATACTTCTGTTTTACCGTATCTACAGATATGCTAAGGTTTAATTCCTTCTTCAACATTGACGCAGTGGAAAAAGGCCTGGCCTCACTACTGGCCTTTAAACGGGCGTCATCCTCCGCCGTCGTCCCTTTGCCTTTGCCTTTCCTGGTGACACAGAACCTTTGTCTCGGTACAGCTTAAGGATGCGCGACACAGCTCGTGTCGATACATTCAACATATCAGCAATTTCTTGGTAACTGCATCCTTCTTCAATGAACACATGATCGGATAACAAACACCTCACAAAACAATCACAAGAATCANAGTCAGAAACAAAGTATAAAACCTTCTGCAGTTAGTAAGGCTTATATAGATAACTTCAAGGTTACAATACTAGTTTTTTCTCACCTAGGAATTCCCAGAAGCATGTCCCTCTCCTTGACTGGCTTTTTTTATTATATTCCTATGTTTCTTTATATACTTTATAAGTTCCTGTATATAAATTACCTTATTATTTAGGTAATTCTCGTATATAAAATAAATTAAAAAAGGTAGGATAAATTTACAAGATATAAGGCTTCATTTTTGGGACTGGATGATGGACTAGGCAATTCATTTAATTCAGGCACTTGATTTTCCTATATATAAATTACCTTGTTATTTAGATAACCCAGAAAATAAATTAAAAAAGAGAATAAATTTACATAATATGTGTCTTCCTCTTCTGAACTTTTCAAACTAGCCAATCTTCTTTTTTCATATTCTTCCATTTGTTCTTTCATCATATATAGTTAATGTATTCCGGCGAAATTCTATTAACTTTCTTCGCATAACTCTCAATTCCTTCTTTTACATACTCATCGTATTCCTGTTGCATGCGAATGCAATAGTAATTATGAGGCTTTTTGTTTATAAGTAATTCTTTATACTTAGAATTTTCTACTCTATTACAGGTATGCTGGAGAATGTCGTTATTCCCGTCTACGATGTCCCTTATACTCTATATTTCATTTAAAATAATTTAAAGAGTCGAAATTTAAATTAAAAGAACATATTATTTTTAAAATACTCACAGGAGTATATATTCCGGCCTCACGCCGACATACAAGTTCCATTATACTCTATAATTCATTTTAAATAATTATAACCCCTTAATACCAAAAACTTATGATAAAAATCAACCTCATAATTATATTCTATCGATAGACGCAAATAATCTTTATGGATTCGTAATGAGTGCATATTTACCTGTAAATAATTTTAGATGGCTACACAAAGACGAAATAAATGCTTTAGACATACGTAATATATCTGACAAAAATAGCATAGGATATATCTTAGAAGTAGATTTAAAATATCCAGAAAATATCCATGACAGACATGATAATTTGCCACTAGCTGCTGAGCATATTAATATCCCATACGAGTTATTATCTAATTACCAAAAAACAGTATTAAATAAATTAAATTTAAAATATACCAATACTAATAAAAAATTAATTCCTACTCTTTTTGATAAAACAAATTATATAATTCATTATAGAAATTTAAAATTTTATCTAGAAGAAGGTCTGATAGTAACTAAAATTCATAGAGTATTGGCATTTTACCAAAGTGCATGGCTTAAAAAATATATAAATTTTAATAATAAGAAAAGACAAGAATCAACTAACGATTTTGACAAATCATTTTTTAAATTAATGAATAATAGTTTTTTTGGCAAAACGTGTCAAAATGTAAGAAAGCGTATTAACTTAAAAGCAGCTACAACATTAAAGCAATATCGCAGATATCTATCTAAATCATCTGTTGAAAATTTTCAAATAATAAACGATAATCTTACAATTTTTAAAATGAAAAAACCTAATTTAATTTTAGACAAGCCCATTTATATAGGATTTTGCGTATTAGAATTAAGCAAATTGCACATTTACGAAACATTTTATAAAATATTTAAAAACAGGTACGGGGAAAATGTGCATTTATTATATACTGACACAGATTCTCTTACACTTCAAATTTATACAAATGATGTTTACGAAGATTTTAAATCGTTCCCTGATATCTTTGATTTTAGTAATTATCCCAAAACTCACAAATTATATAACGAAGCGAACAAAAATAAATTAGGATATTTTAAAGACGAAACGCTATCGAAACCGATAATTGAATTTTGCTCTTTAAAACCAAAAATGTATTCTTATATTTTTGATAAACAAAATAAAAAAACTGCTAAGGGGGTAAAAAAATCTGTTGTAAAAACATTTAATCACGATAAATATAAAGAAGTTTTATTTAATACAGAACTATTAAGGCAGCAGCAATACGGAATTAAAAGTAAAAATCCTGTAGTAACAACATATCTACAAAATAAAATTTCTCTTTCCCCATTTTATGATAAAAAATTCATTTTAGATAATGGAATAGATGTACTATCGTTCAGTCATTACAATTTCTACTTTTAATTCTTACAGATATTCTGATATCATCATCATCATCACAATATGGTTTTTTAATAGTATACAAAAGGAAAACTACTTATGTAATACATAGCATTTGTAGTAGAACTTATTCGTGTTTGAAACAAACCTATAGGGAAGCAGCATTATTAAAATTGCCAAATAATAAACCATATGAATGTAAATTTTTTGTAATAAAAAATAAAATAATAATGCCTATATTTAATAAATATTTTATAAAATGTGATTGTATGAAATGTAATAATAAATAAATATTTTATATATTCTAGAAACTGTTGTGTGTCCAAAAATGGCTTCTTCGGGAGCAGCCGGATACGATATTTTTTGTACTAAAGGCTTTCAAATAAACCCCCATGAGCAAAAAGTAATTTTCACCGATATAGCCTTGGAAATCCCAATGAACTGTTATGCTAGAATAGCTCCAAAATCTTCTATTTCTTTAAACAATATCATGATCAATGCAGGAGTTATTGACTTCGACTACCGTGGAAATATTGGAGTTGTTATGTATAATTATGGATCAGAAACTATCATTTTCGAAAAAGGATTGGCCATTGCCCAAATAATTTTCGAACTAATAATGCATCCTAGTTTAATAGAAAAAACTGATTCATTAAACGCCACCGACAGAAACGAAAAAGGATTCAGGGAATATAGCAAAATTGCTTTTAAAGATTTTGAGGATTCTGAAGAAGAAAGTGATATTACTGAAAAAGAAAGCGACATTTCTGAAAAAGAAAATGATGATGATGAAATTACCTTATCTCATGAAAAAGAAGAAGAAGATGATTTTAACTGTGATGAAGATACTCATGATGATTTTAACTGCATTGATCTATCTCAAAAGATAGATTGTTGTAACGAAATTATTTTATCTGAAAAAGAAGATTTTGGAGATTGTGGGAAAAATTAACTTTTTTCTCAAAAAATAATGTACTCTAAGTAATGTACTCAATTATGGAGAAAATTAACTTTTTTCTCAAAAAATAATGTAATGTACTCAATTATTTTTTACTTAAATTGTAATATACTCAATTAATCGAGTTTCAAAAAATAATGTACTTAAGTAATGTACTCAATTATGGAGAAAATTAACTTTTTTCTCAAAAAATAATATAATGTACTCAATTATTTTTTTGTTAATTTTGTTAATATACTCAATTAATAATATGTACTCAAATAATCCAAGTATTATGTACTCATTTTTTACAACATAATAAAGCAGCAAATAATTTTTTAAAAAAATGTTTGTTTTTTATAGACAAAACACTCACCCCCATCAACTGGGAAGCTTTCTCGTCCTCACCAATAGAAGAAAAAACTATTCGACAATTTCAAAATTATGTTAATTGGGATACGATCAGTCGAAGACACAATTTAAGCGAAAACGTTTATTTCAGAATTCGCGAAGGACTTAAATTGGGAACACATATGGAAAAATTACCATTTTTCAACCTTATTTATTATGCAAAATATGGAATATGCAAAATGGGATTTAATTTGCCAACATCAAAATTTAGATGAACAATTCCTAACAAGATTTTCGGATCATCTTGATTGGAATAAAATCGCGGAATACCAGCATCTTTCGGATAATTTTATTACCCTTTTCATACATAAATTTGATATAAAAAAAATTTTAAAACACCAACAATTAAAAACCTCAACTTTACGCCAAATACATAATTACCTAAACTGGGAATGTGTTTGTCGTTATCAAAAACTTGACAAACAATTTATTGATGAATTCCAAAATCAACTTTTTTGGTGTTACATTATAAAATATCAAAAATTAGATAAGGAATATATCGTTCGCAATCGTGAGAACTTATTCTTGTATTTAATGGGAGAAATATGCATTACTATGAAGAAATTGAAGGAAAAAGTGGAAATGCTTGTATAACTATATTGTTAATAAAAGAAAAATTAAAATAATTTCAATGTTATATTATTTTTTAAATTACCACTCACAAATATTAAAATTTAATTTACTTAAAAATATTATTATTTCAAATTGTAATAAAACTGTAACTTATTTGAAACAATTTAATTTTGTGATTAAAATTTATATGAAACAATTTTTAAAAATAAATTAATTTTTGTGATTAGTACGTGTCAAACGAATTTTGTGATTGGTACGTGTCATATGTATACTACTAACAGCGCCCCTAGCCGGGCTCGTTTTGTGGTACAGTATTTTCTGGTCATAATTACAAATTCTAAATACTTTATTCATAATTACTATAAGTTAAAAATGAAAATAAGTTAAATTTTTAAATAGAAACCTTACTTATAATTGAATGATTTCTCCATTAAAAAAAAAATACGATAATGTTTGGAACGGAATGCTCTAACTCGTGAGGTTATTTGGTAGAATTATAAACCAAACAAAATCTAAAGCGACTTAAAAGTTGATATTTTCTCACTTTAAAGATGCTTCTGGAAATTTTTCTGGATCTTCTACATTTCCAAAGTTATATCATATCTGTAAACAAGAATAATCTGAAAACAATCATAATACTTCCATCAGAGGCGGCCCTAGCAAGGTTTTCAGGTGATGCGAAATCACATTGTGGCACCCCCTGTAAAAACTAAAAACATATTTTTTACATTATTAATATCTCAGATCTCCGAAAGATTAGCATAGTAGTAGTATGGATGAGAAACAATAATAATAAAAAGAAACAGTATTTGTTTGAAAAGGTTTATTTAAACTACTATAACACAGACAACGCTCACATCACGCAAAACTCAAATTTACATCGTAAATTAATTTAAAATTGAAACAAATTAAGAAATGAAAAATAAACTAAAATGCCTAGATTGCTACCTTTCTCGCAAATTTCTTTTATTTATTCAGAATAATTCAAGTCCTAGACAATACTATTTTCTATAGATAAAATCGCTAGATCTGACATTCTATCCCGACTCATGGTTGAACGTAAATACTGTAAGTTTAAACTGGCGGTGAATGGTTGTTTCTTTAATCCGAAAATGTTTCTCTCGGTAGACTATCTTACAGCAAGTCAGGTCCAGAAACTCTTTTATTGTATTTTCAATTCATATGCATTTCGAACTGGTTTCATTTTCCAGTTCCTCTTCAGTGCTCTACAATTACAATTACAGAATTATAATTACATATANAGTATCATCTTCGTTCAGTTTAATGTGTGATAAAACCTATTGAATATCAAGAAAAAGAACAGACATAAGAAAGAATTTTTAAAAAATTAAAAAATGGTATAAAAGTAACATAATTATCTTAAATTAACTAAATTATATATTACAAAATAATAATAGAATACCAAAGCTTAATTTTAGAGTGGAAACAAAAAATAGAAGCATACAGATCCCTGGCAAATAGAAAATTTTATGTATTGAATAATTTAGAAAAATTAAATTAAATAATTTACATAACTTGCCAAACAGTATTAAAAATACTGATAACTTAATAGGAAATATTAAAGTATTTAAAATAGATGAAAACCATAGATTACTAATCTTAGATATAAAGCAGTGGTTCCCAAACTTTAGGAAGCTTTTGGGAGTATTCCTCCCCCATAGGGAATCACATGCAATGGCACCTGCCCTGCATCTGCACAAGTGTTTATTGCTCTGTATTCAGTATTTATTTTATTTTATCACAAATTAAATAATACTGGTAAGGTTTGAGTGTAAATATGAAGAAAAGTACAATTTCACTATTAAAACCTACAGATATACCTATCAAATAAACTTTACACACTTTGCACAAATAAAATGGATAATATCTGTACAATCAGGAGTTCATTCCTTCTGAATGAAGTCATAATAAATGTAAATTAAAGAAAATTTTTACATATTTTGAATTGCACATATAATCCATGTTTGGTCCTAACTCTCTCAGTCCCACGCACAGATCATTTCCCACATTAACCCATGAAACTGTATTATTTGACAGTTGAATAGTTCATAATGCCTTTGCAGCTTCCTCTCCATTTATAATGCAATACATTTCTACAGTTTTCTGAAGCAAGAAATTCTTGGCAACAGCGTGCAATTTCTTACATTTAGCAATTTTCATTGCAATACTACATAAGAAGCTTTAAAAACCAGAACAACAAACACAGAAGACCAAAACAATAGAATACAAAATACATGTCAAACATTTCCATTAAATAATTATCCTTACAGAGTAATTGAAAAATTGCTAGAAGAGCATAAACTGAAAAAAGATAAAACAAAATCTAACATTTTATAAATTAGAATACACCCCACCATTCTATGAAAAAGCCCAAATTCTATACACCCCACCATTCTATTAAAAAACAAGAAAAGAGAACAAACAGAATCTATTATAAATCCATATTCAGTTAATATAAATCCATAAATCCATATCCACTACTTCAGTTAAATTTCCTGTAATATATTTCTTTTTTGTTTCATAAGACCCATGATACAGGTTCATTCACACATTACTTGAAATTGTTAATACCATTACCACTGTTAATATTACAATAGTACTGGAAGTTTTCCAGTTATCGATTTATCATCCACATAATCAACACTATGTAAAGGACAAACTGACAAATTATTATGAACAGATAACAGCACAGAATAAAACTTTGAGAAAGTATTATAAGCTTAAATATAGTGATAACTTAGTGTTTTGCAATCTTTTCTCTTCCATTTCTTAAAAGAACTGTGTGTATGACAATTCCATGATTAATGTACAGTACAGCATCTTATCAATAGAAGTTTCCCATTCACTTAACATTCAGGTAATTTGTATCACAAATATTGTAGTTTTTTTCTTTGAATTTTTCTAGTATTAAACTCTTAATAAAGCAATTTCAGTTGTAATGTTAATTTTTTATGTTTGCATTTATAAGTTATAAGGCAACATCCACAGAACTAAATACATTCTTTATTGGCGATGTTTTCCACTTCAAGTGAATAGAATATGATTTGAATGTGCAACATGGTGTAGAAACCATCAATACCTGTAGTAATTTCTAATTAACTTTTCAAATTAACTATTTGACTTCAGTATATTCCGATTCCGACAAAAGAAGTTCCATTTGTGAGAAATACACACTTATAATGACAGCAAACAAAACTCTCTACTTCTACACTATTTAATAAAGAGTTGTTTTGCATGCATGGGAGCATAAAAATGCACAAAAAAATCTTTTCTGCTCATTTAATTAAAGAAACTAACATATATATATANACAAAAAACAACATATTGGAAAATTAAACCGACATACAAAAAAATTCTGATACTCACCAACCATGATATAGCATCAGTATACAACAGATGGGCAAAAAATCTAGCCACATTTCTCAATTTGTTAGTTTCAAAACGATGAATAGTGTCATATGCTGTTTTAAAAATATCTTCAAAAGGCTCAACATAAATTTTGTTCAATTGACAAAACCTCTGAAATTAAATTCAATACTTACAATTATTTTAATCATTATATACAGAAATCATTAAATTAAAATAGTTTAAGGTTTAATACTTATATGAATTATTGAATCTTAAGAATAAATTACAAAATTCAATGAATTCTTTGTGATTAAATAAAACAAACAACGGATGAAAAATTCTTATTATTTTATTTTGTCCACTTTTTAAAAATAATGATGTAAAATACAACTACACCTTAAAATTCTAATATCAACTATACAGAATATATACCTATAGATGTGCATGTGCACTGAGAATTCAAATTATTGGATTACAAATGTGTTTTTGATATCCTTTTCCATATATATAAATAGAACTAAAATTCTAAGCTATCTAATTCTTTAAAAATTCAAAGACAATCTTCATCAATGTCACTTTACCAGAAGAAAGTAATCATTTCATTTTTCATTTATAGCATAACAGTTTTTTCATGTCTAATATCAATTAATATCAACATGTAATAATATTTTTACTATAAATACAATATACAAAATACTACTAAATTACTAAAATTAAATGCTACAGGAAAACATTGATATATATCAAGAAAGCATTTTTATGAAATAATTTCAACAAATAATATTTTGAAGCAGGTGAATTGACTTAATAAATTCGAAATTTACTAATTCTAATCTAATCAATTCAATACATCTGAATATGATACATTGATAAAATAGATGCAAGGTTAAAAATTTGAAACGTATTATATGCATAACTGTTTTTATCATCAGATTTTATAAAAAGTATTGAAGATGGTAAATGTCCATGCAATGTTAGATTCGACATAAAATTATTTTATATTAGTAACAATTATAACATTGAAAAGAAAAAATAACTATTGCATTTATAAATCAAATGTAATATTTTCCGTAAGTCAAGTTTCTAAAGATTAAAATATATAAATCAGGTAACAGTTTCTAGTGATATTTTGTAAAACTCCAATTTCTAATTCAAAATGAGACAGAGTTTAGTGTAAAATTAATATTCATAAACAATGCATTACTCACTTGTGCCAGAAGTCCAAAAAATTTTTTATATGTCCTTTGTT